GAGGACTCTGCGATCGCTGTCTGTTTCACCCCTACCACTCGTTCAAACATTTCTCATTTCGTGGGCGCCTGAAAGAAAAAGAATTTCACAAGTACAAAAACTCCCTCAACAGACAACACTAGGCTCCAAGTGCTCCCCACCCAAGTACTAGGCACGGGACTGGCGCGCACTGGCACCAACACAGGTTCAGGTACACACCACGGGAGCCGCGCCTAAGGCTAAGCGACTCACCTGCGAGGACGGCGAGGCACTTTAGGTCTTACTTAGCTCCGTCCGTGCACTCGACTGCCCTCGCCGGCGCAGGGCGCAGGCAAGCTCATTCACAATCCTGCTCTGCGTGTCTGCGATGGCCGTGTGAAGAACGACTGATATACGCTGCTTCTTGACACTTGAGCACTTGAGCACTTGATAGGGTCGATTCCGCATGGTACGGGACCCCTCGATCGTCTCGCCCTCCCTCACTGATGTGTTCATCGGGGGGGGTCATAACAAACACGGTACAGGATCGAGGTGCACGCTGCCGACGCAGCTGCTGAGAGAGATGTTTTTGTTTGCTGCTTCTGAGAGTGCTGCTCCAGGCCCCAAATGACGTGTGAGTGTTAGAGTTGTTTGGTTTGTCTGCTTCTGCAGCCCTAGCCAATTAATTGAAAGAAGAAAGAAGAAAGACAACCCTTGGAGGGAGGGTGGCTGATAATTCTTTTTAACGGCCTAAAACTCTTTGCGACAGCCCGGTAATGAAATTATTTTTGGCCGTATAAGAAAGAAAGAAAGAAAACAGACAACCCAAGGGAGGGATGGGAGGACGGCACGCCGCCACTACACAGGGATTTTAATGTCGTGAGCGGGGCGCGAGAAATTCTTTTGCCGCTGCGCGGCGACTGGGCGCCGCGGAGTGTCCTGCGGCCCGGGCAACCGCGGTGGGTGACGACCTCTCGCGCTTGTCCTTGCCCGACGTGCTCCGCCATGGTCCTGCTTTGTGGCCTCGGCGGCTGCACGCTGCCTGCCTGGCACGTTGGCATTTGCCAGGTGCCTCCGCCCAGAAAGCGCCGCGCCGGCTCGAGCCCTGCGGCGTCGACAAGCCCAGCGGTCGCGTCCTCCAGCCCATCGGGAGGCTTGCTCTGTGGGCTCGGCGGCTGCACCCTACCTGCGTGGCACTACGGCATTTGCCAGGTGCCGACGCTGACCGAGAAGCGGAGGCGCTGTCCCGCCGCCTGCG